TCACACCCAAATGCTGAAAGCTTAAGCATTTACTGTTTAAAATACTCTCTGATCACTGTGTACTGATATGAAGAAGTAAGTCCCACCAGCTGAAAGGGCTTCGTACTACTCCATTTATCATATTTTTATTACATAAAATCAGTCGTTTCACATGTGCACTTCAATATGGAATATTCTAAAGAAAGAAAAAAATCACTAGCACAAACAATGATGACAAATTGACATGAAATTCAAAGACTAATAGGGACAAGGCAGCCCAACACTTCAAGCAAATAAAAATAAATACTCTTCTCAAAAGAATTCTTATAATAGCAGTAATATTTTTAAGTATAATTGGGTGGTGATTTTAAAATATGTCCAAACATAAAATTCTTCAAACGGTGATATTTTATGGTAAATTTTAAAAGACAAGATTTTTAATTGCTTCATTTTGTTTAATATGTGAGGAAGTTGTTTTATGCAGTTTCTTAATATATTAAGTTCCATAGCTAGATGGGTAGGATTATGTCTCATATCATTACAAACTTTATGTATTTTCACATTTATGATGTATGTTAAAGTTTGATAACAGTGATCTACACTGACTGTACAATGTAGATGACACCTAAAAGTGACCATTTTACTACAATACAATTTTTACCATGAGTCCAGAACTTTCCAGTATTTCTTTGTGGCAACATTTTGATAAGCATAATTAGCCAGAAAGTAGACTTTACACCAAAATCAATTTTACATGAAGTAACACTAGATTCTATGAGATGTTAACTATTTTATAAATAAAAAGTCTGTGTAACCAATTTAAACATACATACATCCAGGATTTTGTTAGAAGGCATTCTGCTTTTATTGCTCAACTGAAAATTAACAAATGAACACAGCAGTGTGAGTATTCCATGTTTTCTCTGTTATTACACAGCTCTGAAACATTTCAATGAGCCTTACATATTTACTCTTACAAATATTGTTATTTTTTTTTTAGAATAGGAAGATCTTAACATATTAACTAACAAATACATATACTCAAATTCAAACACACTTGCTTGTTTCAAAATAAACAAGATTACTAGTTAAGATTTATTTCCTAATATTTTAGTTATTGCTCCTATATTTCTAGAAAAATGTGCATAAGTTGAATACGATATTAAAGAAATCAGTATTAGTTGACATTAGCCTTTTTAATATATAGAGTAACTTTATCCATCTATAACCACACATGAAAAGACAACTATATCATATATTAATATATACATATACTCTCAAGCTAGAATAAACAATAAAACTATGTACAGTGTGTGTGTGTAGAGAAATGAAATTAAAAAATCAGTATCCTTGCAGAAAATTATAAAATGTCAGATGTTAACATCTTTGAAAATGAATTTTTCTATATAAAAGTTGATAATTTTATAGCCTCTCTGCATCTCTAATCTTGCATCTATGGCCACCAAAAAGACAAAGCACACTTGATGAAGGACTATCCACTACACCAATATTTATAAGGTCTTTTGATTAATATTATTAAACTAAAATTTAAACCATCTGAGTTTTGTTTTACGAACAATGAAACAACCTATTCCCAACATGTGCATGAAAAATTATCTCTTTAATGTTTCTCATACAATCTTCCCACATACACATGTATATTAGTATGCCTTATTGTGTTATAAAATATTCCCAAATTCTTACAAAATATCATGAAACAAACCTAAAACTACTGCGATGTCCAATCATAGTAATCAATAACCTAAGTAAAAGCAAAGTTTCTTATCATTTGAGTCAGACATAACTCATCTAAACAGAAACATCTAATTTATGTTTTTTCTGTAATCTATTTGGTTTTTCAGATGTGCCATTTTTTAAAGCAGAAATGAAATGATATAGGATGTCAAGAAGTTACAGAGTTGCCTAGTACTTTCCCTGGATTTCAACAGTTACAGACTCAGTAATATCAGTGCTGTGGTGCTCAAGTGATGGATGGCATTAAGGACTTTCCACAGTAACAAGCCCTTCAGACAATTATTTTCAACTTCTGCCTACCTAGATTTCAGGATGCACTAATCCCATGCAGTGCCTGCATACACACACACACACACACACACACACACACACACACGTGCATATATATGTATACACACACACATACTTAGTTATACAAAGAAGCCTACAGAAACTGTGAGGACAAAAGAGGTGTTGCTTTGTAGCTCAGAAAAAGCTTTAGACAAAATAGTTATCTTCAACTCTCAGCTGGACGACATATTTTTCTCCTAGTTCCGAATTTACAAGAAAACACCAACTACCTTCCAAATTATGAACCAATGACTCAATGCAACCGGACCAGCTATGGAGAGGTAAGACTCCCTTTTCCCAGGCCACAAAGGGCTGAAGGCCTAATTATTTTTAAGTATAATCCAGCCAACCTCTCCTCATGCTCAGCTGCACTGAGTGACACTATTTGTGATGCCCAGTGTGCTGAAACTGGGCAGGTTGCTGTCAGTTTAAAAATGACTATAATAGAAGTGACCATGAAGATGGATCTTGTGATTTTGCGTTTCTAATCAGTCATCTGTGAAGAACACTTTTGCTTTGATTCAGCAGACTGGAGACAGCCATGATTGATAGCGCGTGAGGATGAATAAAGGTTATTAACTGTCTTCCTATTAAGCTCAATGTATTACCCCCTTTAGGTGTGTCTCATACGTTAAGTTAAAGTACTTACTCAGGTAAGGTCGAGAATGAACTCTATGGAGACGGTATCCACCCAGCTGAAAATGAGTGATTCATTCTTGCATTATTTTTTATTTATTTATTTTCTTTTTAGTGTAGCATGTAAGCTGCATTTAATTCCCCCATGTTATTCATTAACATAGTGTATATGGAAACCCTAAGGTAATAGGAGACTCCATTCAGTGCAAAGATCTAAATGCTGGGCTAACTAACCACCTGTATGGCCTTCAGATGAAATGCCTTAACAACCATATCTTGTATAACGTGTGAGTGGTTTAAAGAAGACAGTAAAATTAAGTGATGATTACAAATAAATGCATTATATATGCAAGATTCTTTAAATTTTCAATTATCCACAAACAAAAAGTTTATAACAACAACAACAAAAAAACAATATCAATACATCAAAAATTCAAAGGACCTATTAAAATTCCTGGGCATTTTGGCTTCATCAAAGATATTAAGCTATTTATTAACTTCACCTCTTCAAAAAGTTCTAGCAATTATATATACTGTATATATAAATGAACATTTTAGTGACAACATAAACCATGCCCTTGACTTGAATATTATATTTACAAATATACAAGTAATATTACAGATCTTAAGGTATTTAAAGTTTTCCAGTAACTTGGACATATCATTAAACAAAACAATGAAATCTCAGCATTTACTTGGTATTCTGTGTAGTTACTCTTACAGAAGCCAAAATATATTGAAATATTTTGAACACTTATCTTTAAAACCGTTGTTTCCATTTAGAGGTCTGATTCTATAAGAAAAAATATTAAGCACATATTTTTTTATTTAAAATATGATCATGTTGCTCCCTTGTGCCTTTCACACTTCAGACGCTGAAGGTGATTTAGTCAATAGATGAGGGATGGACACAAGTATCCGTTTAAACTGTACCAATTTCACTTCTGTTTTTGGCAGATCTTCATTGAGCAACACTGCACAGTGGCCTGAAACAAGACAGTGTTATCAGACCATCCTTAGAATTCCAGTTCAGAGAATAATGTGCTGTCCCTGAACATGGTCTCCTAGTGTACGGTGAGCTGTCTTTCCAGGAGTTTTTATGTGTATTTTCATCTTTAATAAATTACATTTTCTAAATGTGGTACTGTAATATTGGTATCCATCAACAAGGAAACATAGAGCGAGTAAGGATGTGGGGTCAAGATCTCACTGAATGTTTCTAAGGCTCAAAAATTGGCTCTGTCCAGCTTTGCTCCATCTGGGAATTGCTGTCCTCAGCCAGAAGGCTTTCCAGTTTTCCAGTATTATGTGCATGCCAAGTGAAATTTAAATTCTACACACCGAAAGCCTTTATTTAAAAATGTAGATAAAATAAAACTTGTTTATCTACTGTATCGTTTACATTACATTTAAGGGAACTTAAGTGTCAATTTTTAGAATTCACACAAGACTTCCTCAGTGAGACAACACATGAACTCTATTTTTAGATGGAGTTCTCTCCTTATTCTATCCAACTTCAACAGGGAAACTTAGTAAGCAATGAAGTTACAGATCCTAACCCTTACCCAGTGACACCATCTAGATTCTTGTATGCATATTTGCAAAAGTTTCCCAAGGATACTTAAATTAAAAAGAAATAGTGTGCTGTGTATTTCTCAAAAAAAAAAAAAGCCTGTCTTGATTTACAGATTGTCAATAAACTATGCAATTCCAACATGCCTCATAGCAGAAGATGCCCTACAATGTTAGTAAAAATGCTTCCTTTCCTATTGGTATAATCATTGGTTTCTTAAGGAAAGTGGAGATACCAAACCCAGACAGGGCTGGGGGGAGGTGACACATACAGATTTTAAGTTTCTTCTATCTATTCCCTTTATGGAAACTATCTAGAACTCACACTGTGCAGCCACACACAATATATGAAAACAAAAGGCAAAGACAGCTTAAGATAAAGTTTAGGTCATTTCTATGTGTGTCACAAAGTAGCGTGGTGTTGACACAGCTCACCTAATTTAACACCGGCAGGCAATAGCATTTTTAATTCAATTTATTTTTCATTTATTTATTTATTTATTATCTTTTTAGGCTATCCCCGAACAAAATGTTTCATTCGTATTGCTTAAGCAAATGACAGAGCTGGCAAAGAAACCTTGGGCTTAGTTAGGGGCAAGCCCTTTTACATCCGTGGACTACCACAGCAGAAAGCAGGTAGCTCTGGATTATAATCTCCAGAACTGGGACGCCTTTGATTTACACGCATCTCCCCCTCCCCTCCCAGAACTACTAAGTAGGGGAAATACACCGCGGTGCACACACGTAGTCTGACTTGGAGGCCAGCAGCTGCTGTCCACTGCGAGCCCGTGTAAAGGGTGTAGTGGCCACTCTGCTCTTCCGCCCAGCCCATTCTTGCTTGCCGGTGTTGCTGCTGTCATGTCCGCTGGTGATTTGATAGGCTTGTCGGGTTGCCATGGTGTTGACTTCTTGCCTCTAAGGAGCTGCCCAATGACTGTGGGTCTGGGATTAAAGCGGGAAGAGGCAGCGGCCACAGCGATTTTCTGAGGCAGCTGCGTCAGCTAGAAGAAAAGGGACGAGGTCTTTAGGCTGCCTTCCCTCTAACTCTCAGGGCCCACAGCCAGCCAAAGAATAGGAAGGGTGGCCTGGTGCGACAGTGACCTTCGCAAGGTAGAAGACGCCAGGGAGGGTGGAAGACAGCCAGGGAATAAATAACTCAGAAGCAAACTGCACGTGCCAGGAAGGAAAATCTTCCAGAATTCGTTATTCACACCGGGTTGGATGGAGGGACTCAGAAGTTGTTTGTTTTGTTTTGTTTTGAAAGTGTGTTTAAAGGGGTTCTGTTGCCTGCCCCCCTACATCCCAGTCTCCATTCGGCGGTGCAGTCAGTTGGCCAGTAAAGAGGCTCTTTACAGATAACCCTAAATCTCACACAGGAACTCTTCAAGAAGAGAAAGTGCTGTCAGAAGGCCATTGGGCGCCAGGGCGCAGTGGCCACTTGCTGGGCAGCTGGGGCGAGGGCCGGGGAGCCAGGAGCGCTCTATGCACAAGCCCCAGCCGGAAACTGTAAGCTGCGGGCTGCAGGAGGAAGAGGCAGCTTCTGTTATAAATTAGGAGTTAGGTGAAGGTTACGCAAAGAAGAAAAGGGAAAGTAAAGCTGTTAAAAGAATAGAGTAAAACCCCTGGGAGTTCAACTTGAAATCCACCCCCACCGCCACCACCACCACACCATTCCCCAATCCAAGGTGGGGGGGGGGCGAGGAAGAGGAGGAGAGCACATTCTGGTGTGATGAGAACTCTCTGGAATGTCTGGAGGAGAGGTTTGAAGTGCTAGGGTAAGAAGACCCCAGATGCCAAATAAATGGCAGGAGCGAGGTGGGGGAGGGGAGGGGATGGGAGGGGAGGGGAGGGGAGGAACAGCGGACAGACCGGTCCAGATTCACCGAAGGGACTCGGGGATTAGTTGTAGGAGTGCGATTCCAGTAGAATGGAAACAGAAGTTTAGGCGGACGGAGGGAGGCAGCGACTGCTCGGCCAAGGTGCAAGCTGCTGCTGAGGGCGAGGATGCAAAAGCAGCCTAGGTCAGCTGGAAGGACCCGAGGCAGAGTCGGGGCAGGACGGCGAGCCCCGAAGATGCAGGAGACAGAGCGTGGATGGCGCTCCAGGGGAGGGCCGGAAAAGATGCCAGCCAGGTGCCACAGCCCCGCTCCCAGCGACGCGGGGACTCTGCGTGGCCGCAAGTGCCAAACACAAGCCTCAGCAACTACTTCACAGACACTTTCGTTGATTTTCTTTAACACACACACACACACACACACACACACACACACACACACACTGCCCGTTATAACAACACTCACCCTCCCTGCAGCTAGAACGCCCTGTGTTCTTAAGGCAGGGCGTCTCTGGCAGAGCAGTTCTGACATTTCCAAATAAATCGTTTTCCCTTCATCCTCGGTTGAGGAAAACGGGAAAACTACTTCGTTTTCCTATGTAATTTGGGATTCACTTTCTAAAACATGTAAAAGACAAGTCCAGCCTCAACTTTGTAAAACCCAGTAGGGCTCACTCTTATTTGCATATTAATTTTTTGCCAATCAGAAGTAACTCAATTTGGAAGGAAAATGTCGGCAAAGAAACCGACTGGTCTGCATCTTCGGGGAAATTAACACTAGTCTGGCAGGCACCGTTCAGCAAGACCCCTTGAGTTGTCTCTGAAACAGACCTTTAAAAATAAGGAAAGTATTTATTTTAAAGTAGCCCCCCTTCAAACGCCGTTTCTGCCCGAGGTTCTTCCACACATGTCAAAGGGTTGTTGAATTATTCATTATTGTAATTACTATCATCATTGTAATTGTCCCCTTCCATGTGGAAATAATTTTATTATCGTAATTTGATATCTGAAGAATTTCCTGTTAGTCGTTTGATAATCATTTTTTTCTACTGAAAAGAAAAGTTTTGTTTATAAATGAGATAGAGAAAATGTTTTCAACGCTTTGATGTTTGCTATAGATTTCCGTTTATCTAATCGATCGGAATGCCAATAAAATCGATTAAAGGTTTAGTGTTTTACAAACAACCATTTTGTGCTTTTTGATTTTATGTTCAGAATGATTTTAATAAAGCTAATGTTTTCCTTTAACAGTCTCTCTTAAAAAAAAAAAAAACTAAAGCTTCATCGTTTTCCCCTTTATTATGAGAAGTTCCCACTTGAAGTACTCCAAATAGAAAAATACACATACAAAAATAAGCAATGGTTTGAATTTCACTCTTTTTTTTTTTTTTTTTTTTTTTGCCCGAGGTATTTAAATAAAGCCCTTTAAAATCTTGGTGAATTATAAGCGATCATTCAGTGATTGCGGAATATTAAATTAAACTTAGATAAATCCGCATTGAAGGAGGCAGCACCCAATCCTGAATTTATTTCCCATTTTCTCTAACAGCATCACTGCGCCCTCTCTTCGCAATGACAATGTGCCAAATCTGGGCATTTTGAAAACATTTTCCATATGCTTTATCAGGCACTGATAGACGACAAGGAGAAGGGGATGATCTTTTTGCTCCGAGGTATTTCATTTCACCTTTTCTCTTAGATTCCCACTGATAATCATTTTAACGCAAAAGTTAAAAAAAAAAAAAAACTGTGTTTGCATTCACCTTTGCTTTCCACCTTGCTGTTTATCCCTGGAATTGCACATTTGATTGTGAACTAATGTGAAGCTATCATTTGTATGCCCTGACAACATTTTGGGGTTTTTTTTCTTTTAAATCTTTGATTAATTTAGTTTCTGCTGGTTGTCTTTGTAATTAAATGTGGATTTAATTATACATTTGGTAACTTAGATCAGATGGGATGGTTGTTTGTGGTAGGATTTAACCTGGCTTTTGTGCCTGGCTTTAAGGAAATTACCTACGGTGGTGGTGGTGGTGGTGGTGGTAGTGGCTTTTCCTCAGGCAGAGATATCTGCACTATTGTCTTAAAGTGGATGCTTAGAGGAATGTAATGTCCTGTTTTAAAATGCTTTAATCTGGTGGCCAGTTCAGGATATTCTTTCTAGACTAGATATCGATACTTTTAGATTTTAAAAAGATGACCACTTTCTCTTCTATCCCATGACCAGTTTTTTTCTTTCTTTCTCCCCATTTTCTGCTTGTCTGTCTTTTCACATCTGGATCACCCCTTGGAGCTCTTCCCCAGATTGAATTTAAATTTTTCATTGGACACTCTTGATGGGAATAGCTCCATATGTTTGAAGAGGGTGGGCTTGTGGTCTTGGGTCTGTGTGGTTTGTAGTGGGTGGTGTAATTGCAACGGGAGGTGTGGGAGAGCTTGTGAAGTTAGTGAACTGCTATTGTTTGGGGACAGCCCCAGTCTGATTTTGTTTATTAACCCTGGGCTTGTTGCCCAGAAGGAAAAGAGGTCACTGTACTGTCTGAGCTCTGACCTCAAGGAGGCCAGAGGGCTCTGACTTCCATTTTTCCTTTTTTTTTTTTTTTTTTTTTCTCCTCTCCCTTATTTCTTCCCCCATCACACAGCACCTTGTATAGCTCCTCCCTCTTTTCCCATTCCTTTCTGTACCTGTGTCTGGATTTACATGATGAGCTTTCCCACCCCAAAGGTCAGAGCCTCTGGAGAAAAAGGGCTAAGTTTAGAGTGACTGCCTCTGAAAAGCCTAAAGTGGATTGGGGGGGGGGTAAATGTACATGGATTTGGAAGAATACAGACCTTGGAGCAAGAGTGTTATTTTAAGATAAATAAACAAACAAATAAGAACATATAGGAGGTAACAACCAGACTGGGAGAAATCAGGAAAGGATACAACTGCCCAGAAATAGTACACACATACACAGTGCCTCTTCTGAATGCCACTCCACTGGCTGTTTACCTCTCACATCAAAGAGGGTGTTGCTTCTCCATGATAAGTCATAATTGAAACACACACACACACACACACACACACACACACACACACACACACACACCTTTTGAATTATCTCATTGTAAATACATGCTTGTGACACCTTCCCAAGCAAGCCCTGCACTTACTTTTCCATTCATTTCAATGTTCCATTTCCTCCTGACCTACACAAATCCTAATACTCTCTTTCTCTCTCTCTCTCTCTCTCTCTCTCTCTCTCTCTCTCTCTCTCTCTCTCTCTCTCTCTCTCTCTCACACACACACACACACACACACACACACACACACAAAGTCTTTGGTATCAAGTTCTAGCAGGAGCTAAGTTAAACAAAAAATATTAGTTAACATGCTGCCTTTGTTAAATAGCCCCTGGGTGGAGAAGATCCAACAAAAAGAGGAAGGAAAGAGGGGGTTGGGCTGAGGGTCTGAAAGTGTCTGCAGCGCTCGAAAGGGTTCCTAACGCTGAAATCTTGTAATACCTTGTTTCAAACAGAGCTTATCTATAGAGCCCGGAAGCCCGGTCAAAAGACTGGGAACTTTTCCCTTGGGCTGGGCTTGTTCTGGAGCTGGAGGATGCCGGGGAGAGGGAGGTGGGGCATTATGGGGGAATTGGTGACAGGGCAGAGGAAGGGAAGAATGGACAGCTGGCGACTCATTATCCCGTTTGGAAAGCCTAGAGTGTCCTCACTCAGCGTGGGCTAGTGAAATAAGCTGTGCCCAGGGAAAGAGTCTAGAAGTAGAAGTTACCTTTTGTCTCAATGTTAATTGCTCCTTGTCTCCAACACTCAACACCTAGCCACTTGGTGAATAGCCTTGGGGTTCGCCAACAGTTACAGATTCGGTGGCATGGTGCAGGTGGTAGGAGAGATTTGGGCTCCGCAGGGGCAGCTCTGCAAAGTAAAGAAGAGGGTCTAGCGAAAGTTCTCCATGCGTCAGGAAAGCCTTGTGCTCGTTTCACTTTGAAAATAAAGTAGGCAGCGCTCCATAGGGTGGCGGCAGGTTGGCATAGTTTAAGTGCCCTGACAAGCTGCTAGAGAGTGGATTGGGAATCAAGGTCCAAGGTGCAGGGCCAGGGCTCCTAAGAGACCTGAGCGGACCAGCTGGGGGTCCGGGAGCGATCGCTCAGAATGAGATCGCGGGGGGCCATGGCTCCTTGGCCCGGCAGAGAGGCCGGGTTCTGCCCGCGCCCCAAGCAGCCTGCAGGCTGGGCTTGGGCTCGCCCTGGTCGCCGCGCCCCTGCCGGCGGCCCACCCCGCGCAGACCGGCCTGGGCTCTTGGCAGCAGCTCTTCTAGCGCCGGCAGGGCGCTCTGAGGCCAAGCCCTGGAGGAGACTCTCGACTCTGCCAGTGCTCTCTGCCCCTTCCCCTGAGCCCATTAACCCCGACCTCACCCCCAGCCTCTCTTCTTAGGGAAGAGGAGAGAGAACAGAGAGAGAGAGATGATTAAAAACAAAACGCACACAAGCACACACGCTTTTGGAGGGCAACACTCCCTGCACAGAAGGGATTGCAAAAGTGGGCAAAGGCTCTCACTCTGCTCTGCTTTTGTTTTCTTACGTAGAATTCAATAACAGCCCTCTTCACCTCTTCACCCAACACACACACACACACACACACACACACACACACACACACACACACTGGGGGGGGAGGCAGAGAGAGAGAGAGAGAGAGAGAGAGAGAGAGAGAGAGAGAGAGAGAGAACTATATCTTGCAAGAAAGAGATGGGGGTAGGGATGTTGGGACAAATAGCCACCAAAATTTTTAAATACTTTCCTTGGTTTTCGAATTTGCTGTTTTGTTAATGGCTGGTGTTGTTGATATGGTTTCAAGGAGGGTAAAAACAGCAAAAGAAATAAAGAGCATGCACAGGCAAAGATCACCTTCCTCGTCCACCATGGCAGAAGAAGTAAACCCTTTCTGTACCTGAGCCTGAAACAGACTTATTGTTCTCAGGTGTTTCCTTCATCACCCGCGTTTACCAGGCTGCAACAGCAGGAAATGGCTTTTCCATCACCCAGCTTGTACAGGTAGTCCCCTCAGCAAAGGGCTTGATCCTTGTTCATGTGAACCTCAAAGTTCCCCCTGCCTTCACTCCCCCCCCCAGTCTCTAGAAAAGTCCCCACCTTGTCCTCCAAGCAGACACCCCAGACAGTTTTCTTATTATTATGTTTTTAAGCCAGGATGTTTGCTCTCTGGGGTGTTTTTCTGTAAATAGTCAACTCTTCATAAAAACACCCTTTTCACTTACATGTTACAGAGAATTCAGATTTTACCCTTGTGTGCAACAAACGTGTTTCTCAACCCCACTGAGGAGCACAGGTAGACTGTTAGTAAATTCCTGATGCAGTTGTGTGAAGGTGAGGCTGTAAATGAAAACACTTTAAAATCTTAGAAGCCTTTTCATTGTGAATACAAAGAAGTTGGAAATGGAAGTCTTTAGAGACTGAGGGTTCTCTCTCTCTCTCTCTCTCTCTCTCTCTCTCTCTCTCTCGGTTAACATATAGTCACTTTAGTTTCTAAAACACTGCTACACGTACCTATTCCAAATTTCTAAACTGGCACTTGCTTTTTCTCTTAGTCAAGACCACGTCTACGCTTGATTTTCTGCAATGTTAGCCAGTGGCGGAAGGTAAGCAGCTTTCCAGAGATGGGGCCTAGGTCTGCTCTTTGGAGACTCTAATTTTATCCTCCCAGATGTTTTCATTCCATTTTATCTGCCCTAGGATGTAACAAGTACACACTGATAGTACAATGGGTGAGGCCCAGGAGGGCCTGTGTAGTCTCGCTGTATCCCCAACGTTGTGCAATAAACCTTTCTGTTGGTGTTTGGCACCTTTGGTTTTTAAGGCCTAAAACACTGTTTGGAAGCAGATCTTGGAATTCCAAACCTTCAAAGGCCTGTCAGCTCAGGGGTGGCTGATGCCTCACCTGTCCAGGAAGCAGGACTGTGCTGGCATTTCCTGTTTTTATTGTTACTACTATCTTCCTTCTGTGATACCTGGCTTTAAAATATTACATAAATGGTGACTACTTGTGACCTTTGGTGTAGCACTATATTAATATGCAGAGTAGCAATTCACAAATTCATAAATATACATATACACATTCATGTATATACACACATATTCATATATATATATATATATCCCACATTCAGTAGGGGGTATTTAAAAGTATGTCTATTCCTAGTGTTAGTTAATTATCTTTTAATGAAAGTGTCACTCATATTCACATCTGTAATATTGGAAGGAGATAATTAGATTTTCAAATGAGAATCAGCCTCCTTAAATTTTGCACAAGAAAATACCAAGTATATTTCACTCTAATGAGATCTGTAGCAGGGTTTTAAAATTCATCATAATGTGCTTCAAGAAAGATAACTCAACAGACTAGAAAGATGATGAAAGGGTCTCTTCTCTAAGTCTTCTTAAAGCGGTTACACTGAACTTATGCGATCTGATAAAGTATTCAAGAATATTACAAAGAGCTAGACCTGTGTCTCAGTATTACTCTTACAACCCGGACTTACTCTCATTTGGAAGTTTACTTTAACTAAACTAATATGCACTTCCATCTCCTTTGCCCTGGATTTTCTCTACTGCGAAGGCAAGTGCAGATACAGTTGAAATAGAATGCCTGAGGATCCGAAAGCTATTCCTTCTTTGAAAGAGGCTGGGCTGGATGATGTTTGCACTCAGGCAAGCATTCTTTATTTACATACATCTGCATATTTGCTCTGGCCCCAGTATTCCCCCATTAAAGTGCGTCCGAGTACATAGTAGAATAAATCGTGTTAGAGGAAAAAAAATCTCTTAATTACCCTAACTCATATTTCTCCTTAAAGCTCCCTAGTAAACAAATCTCTGGTCCGTTAGTAATTACTTTGCCTCATTAAAAAAATAAATAAATAAATAAATAAATTCTCGAATGGTTAAAGGGCATTTCTTAGAAACTATTTGTGCTTTATATTCTTCCCTCTGCTCTGTGTGTGTGTGTGTGTGTGTGTGTGTGTGTGTGTGTGTGTGTGTGTGTCTAATGAAGTTTGAGAGTTGTGCGCGGGGGGCGCATGGGGTGCGAGCCCCGGAGGTCCCCATCCCCTGTCTCCGCGGTCGCCTAGACCAGGGCTCCAGCCGCTGCGCTCGGAGCCTTGGAAGTCGCGAGGCTCCCGGGCTGCTCTGAGTCCCGGCTGCGCGTCATTTGCAGTCTGGGGAATGTTGATCACCTCACTAATTACACCTCTCTCTCCCCCCTCCCTCTCCCTCTCCCTCGCTCTCCTCTCTCATTCCCAGAGTGCATATCGGGAATAGACACACAAAGACATGCGCACTCAACTTAATCAGCCATTTTTTTAAACAGGGCTAAAACGATAATAATTAGCAGAATAAAGACATATCGGATTTTCATTTCCTTTCCTCCTTTTCCCAACCCCTTCACAACCAAACAGCGAGACCGCGGTCGGCACATGCTTTAACTCCTCTCGGACCCCCGAGGACCGCTCCGTGACCCCCCCCCCACTTTCTGCTCCAGCGTTTTTATTTTCACCCAATAAAGTTCGAGGATTATTTTTTTAATTTTTTTATTTTTTTTTAAATGAACCCTCTCGTTTTACTTGGATGTGATCAGCTGTACGTAAAATAAAAGCAAAACAAAAAGGAGGCGAAGATCGAGTAGGAACTGCAGGGGAAATGGAAAGTAAGTTTTTTTTCTTTAACTTTTATTGAGTAGTTTGTGTTAAATTTAGGTCGAGTATCGATTATCTTTCCAGCCTGATCTTGCACAATCTTTGATATTTCGCTCCCTCTCTCTCCCTCTCCCTCTCCGCCTCTCTCCCTCTCTGCCCCTAGCTCGCTGGCTCCCGCTCGCCCTAGCACACATTCCCTCATCCCGACCATCTCTTCCGCTCTGCCCCCCTTTTCCATCTATTTTCCCCGGTTTTTTGGCTCAAAGGTTTGCTCTGCTAAGGGAGTGAGAAGGCACGGGGTGGGGGGGGGGAGACCTGATTTTCTACTTGGGGGAGGGCGTGCTTTTCGGGATTTAACTTTTGGATTAGGCGGCAGATCATCCACTTTCGGCCAGCAGTTTAGTTCTTTTCTCTGTCTTTTCGGGTTCTGCCTTCACCCGGAGCCGGGGACACTCTGGTTGGTGGCCGGGAGAAACTGTCAGCTCCGCAGCGGCGCGGACACTGCCTGGGGTCCCCGCTCGCCCCGCGCCCCTGCTCCCCATTGAGATGACTCTTCCTCGGCACCGATGCTCCGAAAGTTCGGACGTTGGTCGGTGGGGCTTGGAGCTCCCTCTGCTCTCCTCTGCTCTCCTTCGACCCTCCCCTGCACCTTCTTGGATTTCCTTTTTCTTCTCCCTTTTGCCTTCCCCACCCCTTCGCAAGTCAGGCCGGGGCTGGCGCGCGCCGGGCGCGGGGCTCAGGCTCAGGAGGATGGGCGAACGCGGGGCTGCGCTGCAGGTAGACACCGGTCCGCCAAACGGCGGCCGGCCGCGGCAGGCCGGGGCTGCTCTCGGCTGCGCCGGCGCCGCGGACCCTGGCAGGTCCGTTAGGAGGCGGGATCTCCCGGCCTCCGGCAGCGGACCTAGGGGTGGAGGCAGCTTGCCTGGGGCTTGATCGCGGCTCTGAGAGGACACCCGCCGCTGGGGATCAAGAGCCTGTGCTTTCTTTTTGGTGGAGGGCAGGCGTGGTGTGTGTGTGTGTGTGTGTGTGTGTGTGTGTGTGTGTGTGTGTGTGTACGGGGTCTGTGGTCGACTGTGGGAACTGATTCATTCCTTGCCCCCCCCCACCCCACCCCGCTCCAGGGTTCCATGTCTGCAAATGAACTTCACCTCCCTAGCTTCAGCCGGTACCATGCGCGCCTTCTGGCCCGAGCAGTCAGGCGAACGAGCAGGGGCTGGAATGCGGCGGGTCTTGTCTTTTTATTTTTATTTTTCCTGACCCCCTCTTCTGCCTCTTTCCCTTTCAATTCTTACTGCTCTTTTCTATCAGAAAAAAATAATAATAATAAAATTTCTCATGGAATTGTATAAAAGTTCCTCGGCGATGGCCAAGTTGCAGAAGGTTCCCCATCCAGCCCCCTCCCCCAGAAGACGGTGCACTGGTTTGTATTTCTTTTGTTACCTGTGATCCGGGCGGGGGGCTCCTTGCAGCGCTAGGTCTGGGGTCCGGCCCACATACGAGGCTCTGGCGGCCACCTTCGGCTGTGTCTCCACAGTTCTGTGCGGTCCTGGTGAGGTTTAGCTACCGTTCGGTGAGACACCCTCCTTGTAGGTACCAAAGATCACAAACACGGACACCCCCCCCCGACACACACACACACACACACACTCCGACCCCTGAACACACACACACACACACACACACACACACACACACACACACACACTGGCAGTCAACACTCAAGACACACATTGGTCCCACTCCCCACCTCCTGTCCCCACCTTGCCTTCACTCTCCCCCTCCCCCAAAAAGCACACACAGAACAAACCCCCTCCCCCCCCCCCCCCCCCCGCCAAACAAAAACCCAAAGACAAGTTCAGTGGCTGAAGATGGTGGACTGACACTGACTCAGACAGAGGCAGGTTCACCAGGAAATCTGGCGATCCCGATTTCTGACAGTCGCATTTCCTCCCCTTAACCCCCCCCCCTTTTATTAACTCTGTTCCATGTTTAATCAAGGATCATGTAGATGGCAAAAGGAGAGACAGAGAGGGAGACACGGGGGGAGAGAGAGGAGAGAGAGGAAGAGAGAGAGAGAGGGAGAGACAAGAGTGGGGTTTTTTCTTTCTTTCTTTTCTTTTCTTTTTTTTTTTTTTTTATTGTGTTCTGGATTTTCAGTGGCTTGATCCCTATAAACGTGGAGTGGTTAAAGCTCATATGTAGTATTATATTTTTAGTTGGGTGGATGGATGGAAGAATCAGGGAGAGGCTGCGGGGGCCGCTGCCTTTTCGGTTGGTGCTTAGATTAAGGCTGAGACTTGGCTGCGATTGGGACGCGACAGTGACTCGGGGCATCGATCGCTTCCATTGAGAGCAAAGCAAAAACACAGCCCGGGTATGTAGCAGTCTTGCTGCCATCCACACTCGCTTTACTTTATATTTACTGACAAAACTAGCAGAGCAAGCTCGGACTTTCTTTCTTTCTCTCAATCTCTCTCTCTCCGCTCTTTTCTCTTTTCTAACTGAAGAATAAAAAGAATGGTGTGTATGGTATTTGTTGGAAAGGATGGGTTTAAATAAAGCGGAAAGGGACTATTTGGGATTATTTCACTTCATCTATGACTGCATTTTAGAGGTTTTTCTTCTCCAGTAAGAAGCATATTAAAGAAACTGAAGATTTTTTTTCTTTCCTCCTCTTAAGAAAAGGAAAATAAAAAGTAAATCCTTAAGGGGATGTTTGATATTGTTCAAGGGCTGGAGTTGGAAGCAGCAGGAAGACACACACAAATGAGAGATGGCTAGCCAGCTGTTTTAACCTCTGGCACCTGGCTTCAGTGCAGGGATCGTAAGGTTCATACGGTTGTTTTCTAATGGTTTTTAATATTTATGGCGTAAACTGCAGAAAGCATGGCTGGGCTGTGTGTTTATTCAATAGCTGGCTGCTCTTGTATTTAAAAAGTAAACTCTTATTAGACTGTTTTCCTTTTTTTATAGCAATGGAGATAGGGTCAATGAAATATGAGGGTAGCACCATAAATCTGAAAAGTGAAATGTACCCAAGGAACAAAGAAAGGTCAGGTGAACCAGCTGTGTATGTCACAGCAACAGCACCCACTGTGGGAAGAGGCAGGGGCTCTGGGTCTGGGAAGTGAAAGTTGCCGCTTAAAGTTAAAAGCAGGCAACCGTGTTTGGCTCTTTTGTAATCTTTGGCAGTTTTTGGCAGAGCAGCCCAACTCTGTTCATCAATTGTGAGCTAGTTGGATTATCTCAAAGGTGCTGCAGCAGCAAGGGGAAAACAGAGAGGAGGCTAGGAAAATTGCTGTTTAATATTGCAGAATTTACTGCTTCCATTCTGACCGTGAGCCTAAATTTACACAATGAAATCTGATTATCTCTAATAACAATATTAGCTCCTGCACTGGATGGATGAGAATTGAGGTGGTTTTGTTGATTGCAAGGGTTTAATGTTGCATTTCAGAATCTGATGTGGTTTGGCCTCCCTTCCATTAACTGGAAAACCCCTGAGGTTTTACAATTATTTCTTAAAGATAATACATTTAAGATTGCATTGGTAGGCTGAAGAAAAGTCATAAAGGCAAGAAGGGAAGCCCTTAATAACTCTTGAGGTTCAGACATGTTCAGCAGTTAGATTGGCTCTGACTTCACCAAGGGTCGACAATGTGTCATTTCCACGAAGCCAAATTGCCCTCTGCCTATATGATATTAATGTGCAAATCAATATTTCAGGGATTAAATTTCCCTTCTTCATTTTTTATGGTTTCTACCTCAATAAGTCTCAAGTCTATTAGAAGAGGCTGGATGATTTAAAATCTTTCACTGCAGAATGGCTTGTCGTAGTCTTGTTTCACAGACGATTTTAGGTTTTTCTTTATAAAAGCTAAAGGTGCCCCACAGAAGTTGTGAGAGGCAGGGCAGGGCCAGGGTTTGTAGTGTGAAGCTCTCCTTCGATTAAAGCTATGATGTATTGGGAATATCATGGATGTGTTTGTGCATGGTATATGCATACTGCTGGTTTAAAAATATTATGTTAATCACCTATTGATTTATTTCGAAATCAATTGATGCCCCTTTCTTGGTAGTGATTTGTTCAGCATTCTTGAGGACTGTGTTAATTTTCTAAAACACTATGCATGAATTAGCTTGGTGTGAAAGTATTGGAAGGAAGAGATTTTTTTTTTCATGTAGCAACATTTTCCTAAGAAGTACTTTGAGAGATCACTGTGTCTGACAGTGATATGCATATATTGTTGTCATAGCTATCATTGAGTTTTCTGGCTGACTGACTTGGCTGGTATCTGTTAAATGAGGTACCCTTGCAGTCTTTATACTTAGTTTCTAGCACTTAGTAGGAGCAATACTTCTTGAGACTCTCTTGGAACACAATTATATTAAAATATATATATATATATAAGGCTTGATTGGAAAATATAAAGTAGAGATGGGGTAGAGATAAAAGACTGACTTTATCACATAATCTTCAGAAGGCCTACTGCCTATCATTTGGTCTTGTTTTATAGTCTTAAACCATCTGGACCAAGTTCCGCACAGCTGCAAGAATTTCATATGTGATAGAACATTTTTTCCATTCAGTGTGAAATGTTCCTTCCTAAAAAACGTATACCAGACTCGCTTAATTTAGTCTGTTAAAAGGAATGCACATGAAAAAGGACAAAAGGCTCTTTAATCTCTGCAAGCTGTTTGTTTTTCTTAAAGATTCCTGTGTGCTCGGGTTTGAAAAGTCATGTTTATTGAGGAGATGATTCTGAGGTGTGACACTAAAATAATCTATGATTTTTGGGTTGGTGGCAATGCTCCTACCCAATTTGCAGAACTACTTTTTATGCCTGTCAAAACACAGAGTTAATCTATCCTTATTTACAATTAATCTCAATAAAATTAATCTTAACTATGCTTTATTCAGTGGCTTAAAATATCTAATTATATTCAATTAACTGCCGTTATAGTAATTAACATTGCTTAATTGCCTCTGCATATATTTATGTAAAGCTCATTAGCTGCTTCTGTCTCCCTTTTCCTTTTCTGCTTGCTATTTTTGCTGTTGTCAAACCATTTTTATCTTCCGTAGTTTGACAGTGGCGATGGAACAGAATCTTTCATAACCCTTTCTGGAAATGAGTGTGATTGCTCTCCTCCATCAGACACTTGTTAGGACCCTTTAGCTCCTGCTCTAACTGGTACCCCTGTCTTCATTTTCTTGTCCTGGTTTTCTAGTACACTCACCAAATATTTTCTGTCATTGTGGCTAGAAATATGAGAAGCCTGGTTAGGCTTTGTATTTATAAATGGAGAGCTTTTCAGTGTCTGCCTAGGGGCTGTCCCTATAGGCAGTGTGGTTTTTTTTTGTTTGTTTGTTTGTTTGTTTTTTGGTTTTTGTTTTTGTCTTTTGGGTTTTATTATTTTTTCCCCCTCCTCTAAAAAACCATTCTAAGGGTTAAAGACTTGGCCAAGGTTCAAACTGAGAAGCGCCCAGGGAAAGTACATGTGAATATGTACAAGTTTCATGTAATTAGTGCTTAATTATATTAACATATGCAAATTGTCAACTTAGGAGCTTGTTGAGCTGGCAAAGATCAGCTAGGCACAATTGCTATATTGTTCTGAAACAATAATGGATTTCAAGTTGGATTGTGGAAACACATAACTAGCTATCTAATTTAACTCATACCATGGTGAAATTTCATTAGTCTCCATGGAGACTGGTTTAATTGTGCTGACTAATGTTCTGGACTGCAGAATGTCCTAAAAAGAAATCGTTGTTTGCCTAATCCACCTTACAATGACACTTGTTTGTACATGTTTCCCTTGTGTGGGAATTTGCATATGCAAATGAATAGATTCTCTGCCCCATTTGTCATGGCTGTTCATTACCCATGAAGAGGACATTGTTACTGGGCTGTTACTGAGTCTCACAAGACTTGATAGTGTCTACCAGTCCAGCTACATTCTTTCATAATTTGTTTCTGATTAATAGACCAGAGTGGGTCTCATTCTCTTTGGGCATCTGCAAAGCAAGGTCAGTCTCTGTCCAAAAGGAGTTTCTGCAGTAACTAAGGACTGTTTTCTTCTGCCTCTGCTTTTTCCACCCAATGGTTAACAGAGTGATATTTAAAATAATGTGTTCTTGTTCAAAGGATGGCTCTACTAATAACCACTAGTTTCCTAAAGCAGAAAGGTAGGGAAAGAAAGGAGAGTCTGTTATTAGAATATTAATCCTGTTTTTGACAGAAAGGTAAACTGATATAATTGCTTTTCAGTTGAAGGCATGGGGGGTTTATACAAGTGTGAAAGCATCGGAAAAGGATTAGCATTTTTTTGCATAATGAAAAGCTCTGTTCAATAGAGATCCAAATGGTCGACTGAATGACTAAGATGAAAGGAAGATGAAAATGCAGGCTTCTCTTTCTTTATGTCTATGTTCTGCTTTCTCCAAAGTTATGTTTGTCCAAGACATGAGCAAACAAGCAGAGACTCAGATTTCAGCAACTTGCTAAGATGTCCTGAGTTTTCATCGCAATTGGGAGGATATGGGTGAAGTTAGTATAAGCTGGTAGATGATCACCAGTGGTTTGTATGTATGTAGAAGTCTTTAAGAAACACGCCAGCCTACAACCCAAAGACTAAGTACTGAGGATCAGGATTCTCAGCACTTTGCTGAAGGAAAAAAAAAAGTTATTTTAGTAGAAACCAGTGGTATGGCATGAATATTAAGTTCATTTAATTACTGACCTTATATAGTGTACCCATTCCCATGGATAAGAAATAAGACAGAACACTTCCTTGGGGGCAAAATGGTGTATTCTGACTTTTGGTAATGTTAGGTGTTTAAGTGGCCTATCAGCTTTTGTAAATTAAGAAGGGATAGCAGATGAGCACACAGAATTGTCTTTTTAGACTCTGATGCATAAAGTTCTGAATGGTTAGTTCACAGGTGTGTTCTGTCTGTTTTAAGTAGGTCTTTTGAAGCATGTCTGGGAGCTGTGTGTTCACTAGGAAGCATTAGCAGTTGGGTTTCACCCTTGTCACTAGTTAGAGATGCCATTGCTCATCAGCTGACAATGTAAACAGGTCTCTTGATGAAGTTTCCAAGGCCATAATGAGGGCAATGAAATCAGCAGGTGTTGAGGCGCCTACAAGGGTTAGAACTGGGTCTTTTGTATATATGTAAATCAGTAGCAGAATAGATCATTATTTGCATACATTGTGTATAAAGGTATACATCTTATGCAAGCTCTTTCCAAGTTGGAGTCACCACAGTGATCCCTGGGGTCCATGGGGAAGGCTTCCCTGGAGCAGAGCTGGAAGATTCCACTAGAGATCATTCTAACTGGTTTGAGGCTAGGGTAGCAGAACTTCCGTTTGTCTCATCACTTTAGTTGCTCAGTTGCTGGGGCTCTGTTATGAAGGTTATATGGAAACTTGAGAAATCAGAAGTGTTGCCCTATAAAAGAAAGTGTACAGGTTGCCTCTTGAGTACAGCATATTGTAAAGGAGAAGTGTTTGATCTTTGTTATAAAGTCGCCCAACTTCTTTACTAGAATCCTTTTTAAAATTTGTCAAGAAATTCTGGATTGTTTCAGAAACTTTTATGGCTAACTTTATGATATGCTTGAAAAAAAAAGTCTTAAAAGAACAAAAAAATCCACATGGAAGATTTTTTTTTTACATGAATAAGGGTTTATTAAGGTATTTCCATAAGAAAAATGTGTTAATTTAAAAAATAAATTCATTTATATTTTAAGACATTGTTAAGCAGGCACCATGTGTTCTACCTGGCAGCATTCCAGCCACCGTGGGTGCACATCACACGTGGGTTAATAGTAGCTTATGTGATGCCTGCATTCTTAGGAAATGGGCAAAAACCCAGGGTATTCTGATATCAAGACTGCAAGAATCAGACAGAGCAGAATATATGTTTATGTGTGAACAGATGGACCCATGTGAGATCTAAAAGTGTACAATTTCTCTTGGCACTTGTTTTTCTTATCCCTGACAACATAACCAAAATCTTAGTTCACTCCTGGTCTTTAATGGCTCAGGGCAAAATGGGCTTTTAATGAGCGCTCAGTGGCATTATTTTCTTGCATGAGGATCGGGGCTCCTTGCGATCTTGCTGGAGTTGATATTGTGCTAATTCCCCCATTTCAGAGGTTCACAAGTTGCCTTGGAAGTTTGATATGGTTTCACATTTGACATACAATCCTTAGGTCAGAAATGGCTGCTCTCCACCCTCCTACTCAGACAGAGGATTGTGAGTGAAATGAAATACTTGCCGCTGAGGAATTTTTTGAATGTATGCATGGCGTGTAAAAACAGCTTTGACACTAAAGCCATGTTTGGCAAGAGGCATCCATAATATAGTTATCCACTTTAGCATATATAATAAATAAATAACATAAATAAATAAATAAATGAAATATTAAGAATTGGAGTAGACTAACTTGATGCTTATGTCAGAATGCCCTAATGCTCCAAGCAAACTTAGGTGTTTTGGTCAGCTAGGAGGCTGGCATGGTAGCATCCAATGTTCCCATCTGATGACTGTCTGATTTGGGGACATAGCAATGCTCAGATGAAAACTGGGTAGCACACATTCTAGCATATGCCTTAAAAAAAAAGTTTATTGATTGTATTTCATCCTTGCTATA